CTAGTTTTTATCCCCTCCGTTTCAATTTATATGAATTTGTTTGACTCGGCACGAAATTTAAGAAAAATTAAAGATTTTTGAAATTTGTGGTCCTAAACAAGTCAAAAAGGGGCTAAGAGAATTTGTGTGGTTATAAAAGCTTCTCATTAAGGGTAGAATTGTAAGTTTAAGCTAAATTGTTTCCAAATTTAGAAATGGGTCATTCTTTTTGGAACGGACCAAAAAGGAAATAGGTTCACATAAACTGAAACAGATGAAGTATAATTTTTCTTGGAAATCTTTATTTTTTTGTTTCTTTGTAATTGTAATTAGTGACAAGTATGATGGACTTGACGCCTGACAAGTACATGAAATTACATTCTTCATGGTAATTTTGCTACTAAAAAAACCAATTTCCTCCTCTAAATTTATGTGACGGTGTTTGCAGTGGACACGAAATTTAATATTTTAAAAAAATAAAAATATTATGGTCTAAAACAAACCAAAATAATTAGCGTGGTTATAAATCATCTCATGCATATGCATCGACATATTTACAATGCATGCTTTGTACGTTATTTGTGTATAACAATAACGACATACTCAGTGAAATCCTATAAATTGGTCTGCGAAGGGTAATGCATACTCGAACCTTATTTCTACCTTGTGAAGACAGATGGACTGTTTTCGATAAACCACCGACTCAAGTAAAACATAATCTCTTGTATGTTATTCATTTATTTCATGATTTTATTCTACCAACTTAAGTTGAGCCGTACGTATTTATTAAGTATAGATTTCAAAAGTATTATATTCAATATATGCAAGTTGTGTACTTTAGTTGGTACTTTTGTGATAATTATTTGCCATTTCTAAATGCAAAAAGAAGATGTGAAGTTGACATTCATTCACGGTTTAATAGTCTTTTCTTCATTTAGAATTATTCGATGGTTCATGTATTTTACAAAACTTTTAAAATATCTTTTATATTTTTGTTATAAATATTTTCTTAAAAAAATTATATAAAAAAAAAAAAAAAGCCAGCGCCGAATTTTGAGAAAGGAGAGGAGTGGCGGTAGTGGAAGCTGACTCTCATCCTTCTCACCTGTAATCTCTATCCTCAGTCTCATAATTATTGACCAATCACACTCCATCCTACTCGCCTCTCCCTTACTCGCACATGTACTCGCCCCTTTCCTTTCTTAATTATGTTAAATTTTCTTAAAGTTATATTTTAATTATTCATAAACATCATTTACATTTTCCTTCGGTAGTTTTCGATTTTCACTTACTAATAACCTAAGAAAATATAACTTGATATCTAATTAATCAGTATGAATTTTTTATTACTAAATTATCTGACTCCTAGCATCTCTAGGTAGATTCATCCAATTAAATACTCCCTATATTTCAATTTAAATGACTTACTTTCCTTATTAGTTTATTCTAAAATGAATGACACATTTCTATGTTTGAAAATAATTAAACTTTAATTTTTTTATTTTACTTACTTTACCCTTAATGAGAAATTTTTACGGCCATACAAATGTCATAACCCCACAAAACTTTTGCCCTTAAGCTTTTGAGACCACATATTTTAAAAGTCGTTCTCTTTTTTCTTAAATTTGTGTTAAGTCAAACTAAATCATCTAAATTAAAAACAGAGAGAAGGGAGTATATGATTATGTATGGATTTTAAGGAATCACGTTTAGATAAAGAATATAGTGCATCAAAAGATGAATTATATTACACTATATTTGATCGGGCACCAAATATAAGAAAAATAACTTTTGAAACTTGTAATTTAAAGAAAATTAGATATTTGTATGAATATAAATTATTTCATTGAATATAAAATTTTAAAGTTAAATTATTTTTAAATTTGAAAAATATATTTTTTTAAGATGAATATTTTAAAAAAAATCAGACTAAAAGAAAATATGCCGCCTAAAATGAGACTACAAAAGTAATACTCAGGTTTGCTTAAACATAAATCCCCCCTCTAACTTTGATTAATAGTCATTTTACCTCTTGTATCCTATGCTATATGTCTATTTCGCCATTGACATTTTCAATTCCGCTTCTATGTAATACTTTTTATATTTTCTTTATTTTTTTAATGTAGTTATATTACATATAATTTAAATAATATTAAATCTTATTATAAAGTTTAATTTAAGTTCATTAGCATTATAAGTAGAATAATCTTGTTATGAATTTGTTAAAAACTCTACCACTCTTTTTATGTTTATTATTTCAATATTATGTGTATTAAGTGCGTACATATGTGTCTCTCTCTCTGTATGTGTGATTTCTCTAAGTTCCATTTTTTCCTTATTCTTCATTGTGTTATGTGTATATAAATTTTGAGTTTGACACCTTTATTGAATAAGAAGAAGACGACAACAACTCCGCCGACGACAGAGATCATGAAGCCTGGCAATGAAGCTCCGCCGACGATAATGGTGAATTCGTCGGAAGGCGACGAGGATGGTTTCTAATGGTGGATCAAGGGGGGAAATTGAAGATTAGGAGAATTAGCACTTCAATTTTAAAACCATATAAGTTACATTTTAGGCCAAATACATATACACACCATTAAACTTGGTCCAATTTTTCATTTTGGCACTTTAACTTAGCCTTGTTCCATTTTGGCCCTCCAATCCCATTTCTTTTGTTCTACTTTGACACAAAAATTTTTCTCTGAGGTAAAAATGGAGTGCGTGCAAATGCACATCTGCTACCCCCACCTCCACCCCACTGCCCCCTCCCCCCGCATTTTTTTTTACTTTTTTTTATAATTTCAAATTATTATTTTTTTCGTTTTTTTGCCCACATCCCGGGGAAAAAATATTTTTTATATATATTTTCAGTAATAACTACGGGTTCAACTGAACCCATAACTTTCGACGCGGAGTAAAATTTTGTATGTAAAAAATTTATTAAAATTGTAAAAAAAAAAAAATAGATATAAACCCATAACATTTAAAAATATAATGGGTTCTTTTGTTCCACTTTGACACAAATTTTTTTACCCCATATAAAAATGCAGTGCAGACAAATACCTAGCTGCTACCCCCACCCCCACCCTATTACGCGGAGTAAAATTTTTTGTAGATATCCTTAAAAACAATACAACTTTATACAATACTTAAACTGATTTGTAGTTTATTTGTAGAAATTTTATCTACAAGATATCTACAAATTGGATACATTGAATTTTAATATCCCAATTTCCATTTCAATTGTAGCATAATTGGCATTTTCGACATAATTGTAGAAGATTTGTAGAAGTTAGCATACCATTTGCCTACCAATAATCTTCAAACTATCTACATTGTGTGAAGACTCAATGTAGTTATTGTATATAAATTTTGTAGTTTTTTATCATAATTTTTAGATGTTTACCTCCAAGTTCTATGTAATATTTGTATATAACTGTCAGTTGAATATAAATTACACAACAAAAAAATAAGAAATAAATACTCCAATCGTAGAAATGTGTTATCCACATTTAATCTGCAAATTGTCTACAAAATTTTACAAAACTACAAATTAACTACATTTATCCTACACTATAACTACAATCAGGAAACAATTTACACATGGAAGTTCTTCAAGTTAGAATTGGCCACAACTACATTTCTTGTTTTCTAGACACACAATGTACCGCTTCACACCATCCAACACAGTATGTATATGATCTGTTGAAGCCCTCACATATATTTTCAGAACAAACACAAAGAAAAAAAATTACAATATTAAAAATATAGTATCTACAATATATATACATTTTATCTACAATATATCTACAAATTAACTACAAACTATAAGTAAACTACAATTTGTCTATAATTTATCCACAATCTGGAGACACTGTATATTAAAATATTTTTTTCCTGCACCAAATAAAGAAATTGTAGTCAAATTATAGATATATGTAGTAAATTTGTAGATAATATCATAAAACTAAAATTTCACAATTTTGGTCATGATTTGTTGTTGTTGTTGTTGATGTTTTTTTGGATTTCTAGATTGAGAGAAGAAAAGATGAAGAAGAGATATATATGAGCGACAATTTGATAGAAGAAATGACGAAGAACATATTTTTTTTTAACTTTGAGTTGTTGAAACTCGAAAATTTGAATTGTTCGATCTTTTTTTTCCCGAGAATTTGAATTATAGTTCTGGAGAAAAATACGCAGATGAGAAATCTCCTTTCCCTTTTTAAGTGGATAAGTTATAAAGATGATTATGCACATCATTACGCCCTTGGATTTTCCACCTGGACTTCACTGATGTGAGAATTTCACCAAATCCTTTAACGGCGAATTCATGGATAGCTCGACTTAGTAATTTTGAGATTTTGGAAGACTCAAATTGATCTCTTTTCTTTTTTCCTTTTTTAATTTGTAATTTTTGTTGGCTACTTTTTAGTTCAATCACAAACTTGGAATGCATAAATTATGTACAAAGAGATTTCCACGAAACCTAAGAAAGGAAGGACACACGCCTGCATATCTATCCTTTCCCTTTTTAAAAATTGAATTTAATGTAGAATCAATTAGCACCAAGATTCTCTCCTTAATTTTAGCGCGTTTTTAGGGAATATTCTGCCTTTTTAATGCCTAATAGTCGAATGGTACAAAATTTGTAGATAAAACGTGGACTGGACGGATAATTAACAAACAGTACACATTTTTGATAATAAGGTTTCATATATGGTATAGTTAGAAAAAAATCCCAATAAAAAACTGGGCCAAGTTTATTGGGCTGTCTATGTATTTGGCCTACATTTTAACTTGCAAATTATGAGTCCTTTTAGAAAATCTCAAAAAATTATTTACACCCCTCAAGTTTGACTTAAAAATCAAACTCCCCCTTCGTATTTTATTAGTAGTAGTCATTTCCCCCCTAATAACTGAGGCGAGTACGGTAGTTGAACTTACACACGCAAGTGGGCGTTAAACAAAAGATACCAATACCACACTTCCCTCCCAATATAAAAATCCTCTCTCTCAACCTCTTCGAAACATTCAAAAAATCTCATAAACGAAACCAAAAAGAAAACCTCTCTCTAAAAATAAAATAAAAAAATCTCCGGCGAATCTCCGACGATGGCTGTGCCGGAAAATTTAACCAGAGAGCAGTGCCTATACTTAGCAAAGCTCGCCGAGCAAGCCGAGCGTTACGAGGAGATGGTAAAATTCATGGACCGCCTCGTAGCCGTCTCGGGTTCCTCTGAACTAACCGTAGAGGAGCGAAATCTCCTCTCGGTAGCGTATAAGAACGTAATCGGCTCACTTCGAGCCGCATGGAGGATAGTATCGTCAATTGAGCAAAAGGAAGAAGGTAGGAAGAACGACGAACACGTGGTTCTAGTGAAGGATTATAGATCTAAGGTTGAATCTGAGCTTAGTGATGTATGTGCTGGAATTTTGAAGATTTTGGATCAGTATTTGATTCCTTCGGCTTTGGCTGGTGAATCGAAGGTGTTTTACTTGAAGATGAAGGGAGATTATTATCGTTATTTGGCTGAATTTAAAGTTGGTAATGAACGTAAGGAGGCTGCTGAGGACACTATGCTTGCCTACAAAGCTGCTCAGGTATATTTATTTATTGAATTTAAGTTACGCAATTACCTCGGTGCACAGAATTTTTTTACACTGTCAGTAAATTTTAACATGATATAGCAGGCTACCTGTAATTACCTAATAAATTACCTGATTGTATAAATATTGTTTGCACTGCCAGTTCATAGAGCTTAAACTCTTTATTAATTAATTTTAGTTCAATTTCTAATCTACTTTAATGCTGGAATTGTTTTTTTAATTTAATTCCTCCGGACTTTGTGTATTAGTGAATGAAAAGTACTTTTTTTTTCGAACTTCAAGTTTTCTGAATAATTATGGAAAATGGAGCCTGTGAGTAGCTTGAAGATTGGAATTTTAAGAGGCTTGTTTTGAATTTTTTTAATGTGTATTTGCATGTCTTGGTGGTTTTATGCTGTTTTCCTCATTTGGAATTTAAAAATGCTGGGGAAGGGCGGTAATTTGTGTAAAAGTTGAACATTTAAAAGCTTTACAAGCTGATTAGACTTAACTATACCTGAAATTGTATGCTTTTGGCATGACTAGAGGGGAGGGAACCTCAAGTCCCCGCTGCCTCCTTGAAATAGAGATGTGCTAATAGCTTGTGCTGCTATTACACCTAGACAATCCAATTTTACTTCAATGTTTGGACTGTATTACAAATGTCCTGATCTTAATGAAGTCATCACTCGTAAAAAATTGATTATCCTCTAAGCATTGACCTCCTGGTAGATTTTTTGGAACATTTTTCCATCAGCGATTCATTTGCTTGTTATTTCAAGGCACAATGTGTTCTTAGAGATCTCTTGCCATTGAAAAAAAAAAAGAGAACCATTATCACTTTAGGCTTTTAGCCTCATTTGTTTTTATGGCAAATCACCTTTTTTATTGGGCTTATAAGCCAGTAAATGGGTGTAGCTTTGATTGGGCAACGAGATCATGGAGCTTAAAGTTTAATCATCTCATTTACTGCTTTGAAATCTCTGTAGATGTAAATAAGTGGCATTCATGAAATCTTCCCATTCGTAGGCAGGAACGGAGTTCTGTAACGTCTCGTACAATTTGTTTTTTTTATTCATACCACTTCACGTGTCTGACTCAGCTTATATTCTGCTGCTGTCTTTGCTGAACAAATATGAGAACACATGCTTGGATCATTGATCTCCCACATTTATGAACTGATAATGCCGAATTTTCTAGTTTTCCGTTATTATCAGTACCGAAGATGTTTCTTTTACCTGCTTAATGTGATAGCTGGTTGACCGTTGTGTTACTTATTTATGCATTTCTTGTGATTGTGCTACAGGACATTGCGCTTGCTGAGCTCGCCCCAACACATCCTATACGACTTGGGCTAGCTCTCAACTATTCAGTATTCTACTATGAGATTCTGAATGCATCAGAAAAAGCATGCAGCATGGCTAAACAGGTTAGTATGTTTCTCTTCCCCCCTATTGTGTAGCTATCTCCTTCTTCCTCCACCGGGAAAGTAATGGCAGTGTGTCCTTCAGTATAACTTTTAGCCACACCGCCTATATACCTGGCCTTTATGCGTGTAAATTGCATGCACTTTCTTTTTATATTTGATATTTTGGTAATCTCAGTCAGAGTCTTGGATAGAAACATAGGCACAGTCATATCAGAATTAGTAAAAGCATCGAAGATATTGATGTTCACACTGATTGCCAGAGTACTCAGAACTTATTATTTCTTTCATTACTTTCTGGCGTGGGTCTGAGACAAAAGTATATGAGGAAGGAACTCTTTCTGATACAAAAAAGGAAAAGACAAAGTTTGTTGCCTGCCAGGAGGTAAATAAACATTATCTGGGGTGAAAATGACTCATGTTGTCTTGCCAAGTTTATATTTGATTCAGTATATGCATGAGGCTTGGGCTGAAGGCTGATTGGTATTCAAGTCGGTATATTTGTGCATTACATCTCCATTATGCTGCTGTTTTTGCTTGTGGAGAATCTAGGCTTCTCGCGATTGGGTTTCCACTGTTTGGTCCCTTAGTATCTGGATATTTAACATGTCATTGAGTAGTACTAGTAGGAGTTAGAGTTAGGAGATAGCATATAATCCTGCCATCGTTTTTCAGGGGAAAGAATCAAGAAAATCTGAGCTGATGTAAAAGAATAGTGACAACTGCATTTTGGTTATGGAAATCAGTAGAATGGTTAAGCCACTTGATCTGATCATCTAAATTATTATAGGGAACAACTCGACTACGTTTTTCATAGCTAGGTTGCGCTTCTTGTTGCTAATCCCAGGAAGTTTCTTGCTAAAATATCAAAGATCTTGTATTTGCTATTATATGTGAATATAAGCATGTGGTGATTCTAGTACTTGTGTACAGTGTACTATTTGAAGCTAGGGTCGTTCAGGTGTAAGTGTAGCAAATTTATGAAGATCCCAAATATGCTGGAATTCTGTTCACTATTGCAATATTGGGTTGCTGTGAATATTTCTCAATGAGAGTAATACATCTCTTTTCAGTTTTATGGTGGAACTGAATAATGGGACGTTTTCAATGAAGTTTCAAGCTATATGCATGACTTTTAGCATGATAAATGAAGAGAAATTATTGCTTCTAAATCCCAGGTCTGCTGTGGCAGACATGTTTGAGATTACATTGTAGTATCAGTAAAAGGAAACATAGCATGAGCTATCATCCTGAAATGAAAGGTCGACGTCTCATGCTTATTAGGTGTTCTAGGTGGTGAATTGAGAGTGAGGACTTTCTCTATGGTGTTTGTTAAGTAGTTGATGCACAACTTTGTGACAATTATTTGGGCTCTCAATTCTTGTCAATTAAATGCATAGAATTCCTCACATATTCTTTCCTTTTGCTTATACCACCATAATATAGGTTATAAATATGTAGAATCTACCCTTTTTTCCAATCTCATGATGGTAAATATATGCTTTCTTTTTGGATGAATCGATCAACCTTTTTTTACTCCTTTTCAGCATCTGCCTAAAATAAGATAAATGTTGATTCTACATGAAAATCTTTACAGTTAGGCTAGAGGTTTCACTTGATTCATTTTTTTGGTTTTTAATGAATCAAGTTTGATCTTAGGTATAATATTGAGCTGATTCCTGAAGTTCCTTTTCGTTATGTTGCAGGCCTTTGAGGAAGCTATTGCCGAACTGGACACTTTGGGGGAGGAATCCTATAAGGATAGCACCCTTATCATGCAGTTATTGAGGGACAATCTCACTCTCTGGACTTCCGATATGCAGGTACATCATTTTTCCTAATTAGAAAACTTCATTGAATTAGACAATTAGTAAAGGGATGATATGTTTCTTCCTGTTCCTCTCTAACTATGATTACACAATGCAAATATTAAAGCACGATAAAAATATTTCGATGCATGACTGAAGTCCAACTAATGACTCCGATAAATTCCATTCATACTGCAATTCAAATGTATAGATTCTCTATCTATATCCAATCCCATTGAGAATAGTATACAGTTGCTTCCGGCTTGTTGTGTACTCGTAGTCCTTTTGCTTAATAGAGAACTAAAACATGAGTATATTATGGCTAATGCAGGAGCAGATGGACGAGGCTTGACATTAAACTGCTCCTCCAGCAGGTGGGCAATGTCACACAGCAACTCTGTAATCTACATGTGACTGATAACTTTTGTAATTTTATTTCTCATGCCTACTTTGGTTGTTACTTATTCAAACTCTGGTTTGAAACTTAATGTTTTTAATTTTATTTCTCGAGCTTCCCTTTCTTGTTTCTTCTTTTTTCTTTTTATAGAATTTTTTATTTCCGCTGAGGTTTCACCTTTTGAAGGTCCTCATTCTTTCCCCCCACCAAGGAAACAGAAAGTACCTCAGCCGATCCCAAACTAATACTCCTAGAGCCCGTTTGGACATAAAAGTAATTTCACTTTCGAAAATTTTTCACTTTTTTAGAAATTAGTGTTTGACCATAAAATTTTCGATTTTCACTTGAAGATGAATTTCGAAATTTTGAAAAAACTCCAATAAATAGTTTTTCAATTTTTTTATACATATCACTCACAAAACTTCAAAAACAACTTAAAATAATATTCATGTCTAAACACAACTCTAGTTTTCAAAGACCATTTTCACTTGAAATATTTTTTCATTTTTTTTTGGAATTTTACAATTCTTATGTCCAAACGCCCACCTAGTTTCGAAGCGTAATTGAATGGTTGATTGATTGCCAGATATGAAAGAAAGAGAGATTTGATTTATGCAAGTGTGCACAAATAGGATGAAATAGCCTTGTCATTGTAAAATCTGCCATCATAGGCGTACATGTGGTAGACTCTCTTTCACTTGCATCAAGCGTTTACGTTAAATTAATAAATGAATAATATGTGCTTCTAGATAAAATTTTCTCATTTAATCAAAATTAATATATGTTCTTACTTCATTAAATTATTAACTAGGATAATTGATACACTTTGATGTGAACACTAAGTTGGTGTTTGTTTGTTTTTTTTCTTCTTTTTCCTTCTTTTATATTTTATCTTTCGACATTTAATCACGTTATCGCCGACTTGGAAGTATTTAAAGTGCTCCAGGAATTCTTCGTAAGAGTGCGTCCTGTATGCTTTATTGTAATAGTATTGCAATTTTAGTTTAATAATTGTATTTTTACTATGCATTAGATAAAACATAGGTGTATGATTCAGAGCTCATTAAACGTGTTTTCTCATAACCTTATTTTCTCCATGATTCACGTTACCAAAGGGATATGTACACAAAGACTAAGAATCTTCTTTTGGAAAGGTTATCTAAAACACCAACCCAAATGCATAATTTATAAAACTAATTTGCAAAATATTTTTCCAAAAACTGGATCCAAATCCAAAATGGCATCTTGATCACTTTCCTCTTTCTCCTTTATGTCCTTCTTCCTCTTTTTCAGGATCTTTATACAAATAGCTAGCCTAATTTACTGTTTACTTTTCTTAATATATATACTTAGCTGTGCAAAATATATATATACTTAGATGTGCGCCTAGACACAAAACGGCGGATGAAAGAAGTGGTTATGTTGGGCGCTGTGTTTGCTTAGATGATACGATGTTGATTTTCTGAATCTGAGCTCGATGTTCAGAGCTTAAACTCAGCCATGGAGGAAAGTCTGTGAAGAACGAAGTATGTAGAAGAAGGAGAAGGTCGGTTGTATTATTATCTGTATATAAAATGTGTACAGTTGTCCTATATATATACAAGTAACAGCTCCTCTCTTAATTAAGCCAGCTGGCATAACTAACTAATAGTTCCACTAACTACACCTAATTGTGGTTACTTCACTAACCTAACTATGGTTACATTCAAGCTAATTATGCTACTGACTCCAATACTCCCCCTCAAGCTGGAGGGTGCAAAATATTAAGAACTCCCAGCTTCCTCAACAGAAACACATGTTGTCCTTTTCCAAGTCCCTTAGTAAGCAAATCAGCCTGCTGTTCTTTAGTTCCAGTGTAGTGAGTCTGCACCTTTCCTTCTTTAATCTTGTCCCTTATAAAGTGACAATCAATTTCTATGTGTTTGGTCCGCTCGTGGAAAATAGGATTTGCTGCAATTTGCAAAGCAGCCTTACTATCACAATAGATATCAATTGGTTGCTTGATGTTTACCTTTAACTCTGCAAACAATCCCAAAAGCCATGTCACTTCTGAAGTTGCTGCAGCTAAACTCCTATACTCTGCTTCTGTAGAGCTCTTTGACACAGTTTGTTGCTTTTTTGATTTCCAAAATATCAGGGAACCACCAAACTTCACTAAGAAGCCAGTTACTGACCTTCTTGTATTTGGGCAAGCTGCCCAATCTGCATCACAGAAACACATCAGCTGATCTGCACTTTCACTACTCATTAATATCCCCATTCCTGGTTCTTGCTTCACATACTTCACTATCCTCATGGCTGCTTCCCAATGAGACATTTTTGGTGATTGCATGAATTGGATGAGTGTCTGGACTCCAAAACTTATATCTGGCCTAGTGATTGTCAAGTACAATAATTTCCCTATCAGTCTTTGATAGGCTGAGACATCTGCTAATGGCTCATCTCCCTTCGATCCTGTGTGTTCATCATACTCTACAGAAGTAAACTTCTGGTTGATGTCAAGAGGAGTTAAAGCTGGTTTTGCTCCTCCCAGTCCCAAATTTGAAATCAATTGTAAGGCATACTTTCTCTGATTCAACAATATCCCTTTGTTGGACCTCAACACTTCTATTCCCAGAAAATATTTCAGCTCTCCAAGGTCTTTTACCTTGAATCTTTGGTGTAGCACTTGTTTTGTTTCTTGAATCAGTTGCTCACTGCTCCCTGTGATCAGCAAATCATCTACATACACCAACACCACAACTATGTCCTCTTCTCTGGTCTTGGTGAACATTGAATAATCATATAGACTTTGACAGTATCCTGCATCAATCAGTGCTTCAGATAATTTGATATTCCATTGTCTTGAGGCCTGTTTCAGGCCATATAGAGATTTCACTAACTTGCACACTTTTGTCTCCCCCTGTTTCTTGAAACCCTAGGGTAACTCCATGTACACTTCTTCATATAAATCTCCCTGCAAGAAAGCATTGTATACATCCATTTGAGACAAATTCCAACCTTTTGAAGCTGCCAGTGCAATGACTAATCTAACGGTCACCATCTTTGTAACTGGTGAAAAAGTCTCATGGTAATCTAATCCTTCCTTTTGACTATAGCCTTTAGCAACTAACCTTGCCTTAAATCTCTCAACTTCACCATTTGACTTGTATTTTATTTTGTATACCCACTTGGAACCAATAGCATTCTTTCCATTTGGTAAATCAACTATCTCGCGAGTATTGTTTTATTCCAATGCTTTGATTTCCTGCTTCATAGCTTCTATCCATCTGTCATCCTTTGAAGCTTCTTGGAAATTCTGTGGCTCTGTGTCTAGTGAAAATTTTGTTAGAAAGCTTCTATATTGTGCTGACAGGTTATCATAAGATACATAGTTTGACAGTGGATATATTGTAGTGTGTGCATTCTTCTTTGTCACATAGTCCTGATGCCACAAAGGTGGTTTTGAGGTTCTTCCAGATCTTCTCAATTCATTTTCACTATCTATTGTATTGTCTGCAGCTTGTACTTCTTGTGATATGCAATCAACAGCCTCAGGTGTCTCATGAATGACATTGTCATGGTTTGATGCATCAGCCACAATACCCTGGGCATCAGCTTCCTGGGCATCCTGAATGTTAGTGCCTGCATCATGTGCATCATCGGCTTCATCATGGGCAGCATTTACTGCATCATCGATCACAGTGTCCTGGTGAGCTGCATGAGCTAGTGAGTGTCTCCCCCTGTCAGGAGCTACACCAGGACCAAGAGGTAACTGAAGAGGTGTTGTATCAGGGGTAAAAGGAGTTGGTGCAGGCTCTGACTGTGAAAAACGAAATAAGTGTTCCTTAAACACCATATCCCTGCTCACAAAAAAATGTTTAGTAGTGAGATCAAGAAGTTTATAGCCCTTCTGAGAGGAAGAGTACCCTAGGAAAACAGCTGCCCTGGCTCTTGCCCCAAACTTATCATTTTTCATAAGAATGGTGGCATAACAGAAGCAACCAAAAACCTCAGATGATCAACGGATGGTGGCTTTCTATATAATAGTTCATATGGTGTCTTCCCTTGTAAAACTGCACCGGGCATTCTGTTGATCAAGTAAACAGCTCCTTCTACACATTCACCCCAATATCTAGCTGGTATGCAAGCCTGAAACTTCAAAGCTCTAGTTGTGTCCAAAACATGCCTATGTTTCCTTTCCACGATGCCATTTTGTTGTGGAGTATATACACAACTACTTTGATGTAATATCCCATAGGAGTCAAGCAGTGCATTACAATGTTGATTAAAGAATTATGTCCCATTGTCTGTCCTAATTATTTTTAGGACTGCAACAAACTGAGTTTTAACAAAAGAAAGGAAATGCTTCCACACAACAATCATATCACTTTTCAGCTGCAACAGATATATCTATGTAAACCTTGTATTGTCATCAACAACAGTAAGAAAGAAATGCTTCCTGTCATGAGTAGGGGTTCTATAGGGACCCCACACATCCATATGCACTAGTTCCAATGGTTTCTCACTTCTAGAGTTACTAATAGGAAACACAAGTCTACTTTGCTTTGCTAATGGACAAATAGGACAGTCCTTATTTATGGAAACATCTAACATCTTATTTTGTAAAAACTGCACATTCTTCATGGTATTGACTGAAGCGTGTCCAAATCTCTTATGACAAAGATTGTTATCTGCCTCCTTGCTTTGAACAACAATGTTTGCTTTTGAAGTTGCTATCTCTTTACCAGTTCTTTTCTGTTTCACAATGTATAGGCCACCTTCTTCTCTACCAATCCCCCTCACCCTGCCATTGTAAAGATCCTGGAGTACACAAAAATCAGGAAAGAAATTGACAGAGCAAGAGAGTGCCTTGGTTAATTTTGACACAGACAACAAGTTGAACTTGAAATATGGGACATATAACACCTGATCCACCTGCATCCTGTCTAAGAAATCTGCTATTCCCATATGAGTTATTTTAGCTTTTTCTCCATTAGGCAAATACACTTGATCCTTGTTAAACGAGTCTAACTTAGTGTGAGTACTAAGCATATTTAAATCTACAGTAATATGATGCGAAGCACCAGAATCTATGATCCATTCTCCAGAACACACACTAGCCATTAAACATGTAGTGATACCT